GCTTTTCAGTTTTGGTTCAGGTACTTCATTTTCAAAGGAAAGGAGCCGGTGATCGCAGCGCATCACACTATTTTTTCCGCACAGGAGATCTTTGGGATTATACTCTGATATTATTTTATGTTAACATGTTTTGATTACTGACACTTGGGTCTTGATATGTGATGTTATTATGAATGTTTTTATACTATTGGTTTTATAATAACTTAATTAAAAACGAAATTTTTGATCTTGAAATTTGGGATGTTACAGAAAGTATTTCATAAAATAGGTAAACGGTTTTAGAAGTTAAAATAGGAAAAATATTACGAAAATATACAAAAGCAAATAAGAAAACAGAAAACATGTGTTTAACACATTGTCCTTAAAACAAATTCGCCCATTACCGAATTTTAGGATACTGTAACGCTCTAAAGTTTTCAACCAATTTAAACTTTTCAAAAACAACCCAATTGCAATTCATTACGAAAAGGTTTTCAATACATTTATTATCAGAGTATTCCCAGAACCATATCATAAAACAAGAACATGAGGAGCAGTACGATCACGCCTTCGCCTTGCAACGGTCTCCTGAAGTACCTGAAACATTAAACCACAACTGTAAGCCCGAAAGCTTAGTGAGATACCCCAAAAATACCAACCACATATACCATACACATAACATATCATAACCAAACACACAACAACCATGCACTACGGGTCTACTGTGTGACTGGTCCGCCACACCGGGCCTTCAGTCCACCTGGTCCACCCTCCGAGTCTAGCCATATCCATCGAGTCTGCAATGTGGTTGGTCCGCCCGCACCGGGCCTTCAACCTACCTAGTCCACTCTCTGAGTCTACAGTATGACTTGTCTGCCCGCACCAGGCCTTCAGTCGGCCTGGTCCACTCTCCGAGCCTTGGCATGTCTGGTCCGCCCTCGTGGGGCCTACAGCCTATCCGGACCGCTCGTTGGGCCTTCGGAATATCCGGTCCGCCCTGGGTATGTTGGCCTACAGCACAAAGCAGGACCGCCTCAACCCAACCCCAGTCAACCAACCATGTGCACATAAACATATAACCATATAATAATTAGTTATCAATCAACCGATCTAGCAGATCAAATACATAGCATACTCTAACCAGGATACCGACCTTAACCAGGTCTCTAACATATACCATCCTAACTACCAGGATGCGAGCATATAGCAAAGCAATAACATAACAATAACAACTACCCAAATTTCCATCCGATAAAGGGCCGACCTTGGTGCCTTAGACCCTGTCGATATAGTAAGGATAACTCACCTCGCAACCGCTGACTGAAAATATAAGATCATACCGCTCCGAATTTCGTCACGAACTCCACCACTGATCAATACCAAATACTGAACTCAATAAATAGTAATAATTACCAAAATACCCTTGGAAGTCAACTGGTCAACTCTTGGTCAAAGTCAAAGTCCTCAGTCAAAGTCAAACTTCCTGATTGACTCTACTCGCTGAGTCAGCCCGCTGACTCGTCGATTCCCTAAGCTATAAAAACTCCCATATCGCAACCCAACTCGTCGAGTCGCCCCAAGACTAGCCGAGTCCCATGAACTCTGAGTCGCCTCCTGCTCAACTCACTGAGTCATCCCTCGACTCACCGACTCACAGCTCAACCAAAAAGTTTAGGACTCCACGAACAGACTTGCCGAGTCCAAGGCAATCTTCAACAGACTTGTCGAGTTGTTCTTCCAACTCGTCGAGTTCCTGCCTATCTTCATCCAACTCGCCGAGTTCACCCATGTGACTCGTCGAGTACCTCTAGTTCTTAATCCATACAGTGGCTTTCCAAGCCATGCAGGGCTCCAATCCATATATCTATTCTCCTACAACCCATCCATCACATAAAGTGGTAAACTTTACATGAATCCAAAGAGATTTAAGCATAATACACTCTTGGGCTAAGGGTTGGGACAAAAGAACTTCACCTACATCTCTTGGACGTAGACTTTATGGCTCCTTGGATCATTATAAGCCTAGATCTAAGGTAGCAACCTCAGATATTACAACAACTCGAGATGGACCTCATTTATGCCTCAAAAGCCCCACCATTGATAAATCTAGGTGCACAAAAGCTCAAGAACAGATCTATTACCTCCAATGCAAGCTCCCACTAAAGAATGAACTAAATCTCTGCAAAGCCCCTTGCTCTAAATCTTCTTGCTCTTCAATTCCCCTCCAAGATTCCCTCCTCTAAGGCTCTAATTTCTCACAAGGGAAAACTCACACGAATCTAAGGCTTCTGGAACTCAAAGGGAATGTAAAGAGGCTGGGGAACAGTTGTTATGTTCTTTATATAGGGCACAACCCCCGTGATTAGGGTTTTCTCTCTTCAGCACCAACTCGCCGAGTCCAGCTTCCGACTCGCCGAGTTGGTCACTTAATGTGTGACCAGAATCGTGACTCGACTCGCCAAGTCTATCCATTGACTCACCGAGTCGGTCTTCCTTATTTACACTAAGAACCTTGAACTTGCACTTATGAACTCGGGGTGTTACAATTCTTCCCCACTTAAAATAGGCTTCGTCCTCGAAGCCTGCTGCAACATACACTTTCCGATGATACTCCCACAATGCACCTCCTAGAGTTAACCGACCCAGGTTCCCCCGATCGGTGCTATCGAACCTCTATTAAGTCCAAATCTTCTCTCCCAGAGTTACGACAACTGATTCAAGCTGGCCACCGGCTTCTTTTTCTGATAACACCCTTAATAACCAATGATCACTCGATGATACTTTCATCACTCCAAATCACCACGATCACTTGACCCTTTCCAAACTAGGTATCACCCTGATCCACCGGGTCCTGACCAACACCCTCTACCCGTAGCCCATCGTCTAAATCAATCACACTATAACAATAAAAAAAATGGTTTTTAATTTTTGTAGTTTTCATATACATACTCTTTTATTATTATTTATTATTTCATAGTTTAGAATTAAATGGTTCGTTTAACACATGAATCATAAAAGGATGCAAACTTTTTTTTTTTTTTTTTTAATTTTTGCTCTTATTTATTTTATCTTACAGAAATAAACAAAAAAATGGTAGCAAATTATTAAAGGGGGTTATCTTCTTGCTCTTAGTAGACTTGATATTGGGATAGGTTAGGAGCAAATCATCATTAAACCAAATTTTTTTTAAAATTTAAAAATATGATCGGTCTCGCTCCAATAACCCTCAGGGTTTTAAATAATCAAATTCATACCCGTCTCCACCGAATTAACTAGTACCCGACACATTAACCATATCTTTTTTTTTTTAATTTTATAATTCCACAATTTTGATGTGTGCCACAAAGTAATATTTATCAAAAAAATAAAATAAAATATCTACTTAAATAATATATACAATTCTTAATACTCAAAATTCAATATAATAAGAATTACATTTTACCTAGACATAGGTTGTATACTTTGGTGTTATATATATATATATATATATATATATATATATATATATATATATATGGTTATGTTATATTGTTTTAACTATCTATTGTGTGATTAATTCTGGACTAATCATTTTAGTTATTTTAATAAAGTAATTAATGCATATTAGATGTTAAAGATATAATGAGCATTAATTAGAACTTCAACATTTAATATGTATTAATTACTTTTTTAAAATAATTAAAATGATTGGTTCAGAATCAATCATACAAACACAAAATAGATACTAAAAACATTTGAACCTAACACATACACTCTCTCTCTCTCTCTCTCTCTCTATATATATATATATATATATATATATATATATATATATATATATATATATATATATATATATATATATATATATATATATATGGTGGGTTATAAATGAGGCAAATCGACAATGATTCATATCCAACCTATTTAATAAAAGGGTAAACGGGTATGGTTGTAAACGGATAACGAATCGAAAATTAAAATCAAAAACCGTAAAATTCTTACGGGTTTGGAACAAATAAAGATCAAACCTCGCTCCATTGACATGTCTAATTATTAGACTAGGCTATCATTGTATGTATGAGTTTATTCTTCTGTTTAATTGATTATCAGTTTATTCAATTTGGTTTAATCATTTTTTTTACTTCTAAAATATTAACAAGAAACCAAACCAAATTACATTTGGATAAATCAGTTGTAAGGTTATGTTGTTCGAGTTCTTGGTTGAATAAGAATAACAAAAACCAACATCACAAGTGTATTAGGAAATATTGATCTGTCAAAAAATAACTTAACAAACACCGTCTAGATCAGTTGTAGGATAAACAATATAAAAAAAAAAACCTGATGAAACTATAAATGTGCGTATATGGACAATACAGATACAATTTTTTTTTATAATGCGACTGACTTAGACAATGCCCTAAGGGTGATGTTGGTTTTAAAAAATCGGCCGAAGAAAAATTATCACACAAGTATTGGTTATGAAATGACTTTTTTTTTTCACATTTAATACCTTTTTTTTTTTGTTAAATATATATTATTTAACTTGTTGAAACTGTTTATATATATATATATATATATATATATATATATATATATATATATAATATAATATATATATATATATATATATATATATATATATATATATAAAAGCTGCGGTTGGTCACAAAATAAATATAAATAAATAAATATAAATAACTTCACTAAGTTGGATAGTATGTGATATAAAGAAAATAAAAATAAATAAATAACTAAACCTAAACAAAATCAAGAGTGTGTAACCGTCATGAATCATTTTCCCATCTTTCAAATAATCAGGTGTTATTATTTTTTTCTTTTTTATTTACGGCATAGCTCTGCTTGGTAAATTTTTATAAAATTTGGTTGATGTTAAGAAAAAAACAAAAATAAAATAAAGGGGTTATTCTTTTTATAATATGCGTGGAGCGTGACTCCCAATATTCTTAACCAAGCACCGTTTCAATTCCCTTACCTTCCCTAAGCTTCCGATAAGTTTATGCACTATATATGTGTGTGCAGGTTGTTCGGTTTCCTATTGTTTTGACAATCGTATTTGAAGTAGCTTTCCTCCACTGACAAATTGGAAACAATGATGACATTGGGTCCAGGACCATTGCGAGGAAATAATTGGGAGGAAAGAGGGATGAGTGAAATTGTGCAAATATTAATTTCATATGACAGCCACAGGATCTGTTCGATCCAGTTCGCATACGTTCAAAATGGTGGCGTGATGCATTCAAAAAAATATGGACAAGACTGTCGCGTGGGATTTGATGCAGTAAGTACGATTGTTTTCAATTCTTTACTTGTTTCAAATGCTAAATGCTTCCAGTTACTTTCAATTATTTGATTGTCGTAAAACATCTTTCAAAGAGATTACTTCATCATACGGTTTTAGTATCATTATTTTGTAACTCCTAGCTGTTAAAAAAAAAAAATGTAACTAGTTATTATAGTCTGTTGGATCAAAATTCTATATTTGTATTTGTGTATTTGTGTAAAATATGCATGTCTTTGTGTGCACATAGATGCATACAAGTACATAAAAAGTTTTTTTTTTTTCATTAGAATCTTGCCTTTGTTACAAGAATCTAAAGTTATTTGCTCATTTAAATGTTACTTGCCTTGTTACAAGAATCTAATCATTATCATACGACTTTGAATGACTGTTTTTCTAAATTTACATTATCTATTTATAAAATATACCACATATAAGGTGGTACATACTATCTTGCTAGCTCCACATTTAACTTCTTTTAAGTGTTCCAGTTTTATTTGCATTGAACAACATAGGTGACATTTGATTATCCGTCCGAGTATTTAACTTCTTTAAGTGGTCGCTATAATGATGATGGTCAATTGACTTCTATTGTGTTTGGCACAAACAAACGTAAATATGGACCCTTTGGACAGACATCCACATCTACAAAAGGCGAATTCAACTATAAATTTGGAACGAGGTCCTCTTTTGCAGGTTTTTATGGAACCGTTTTGTATGGTTTAGTGTATGCTATTGGAGTCTACGTCAAGCCCATCCAGTCTCTTGCTGAACTCAACAACAAGCCCACTGAGTTTGTTGCTGAAGTCAAAACTGAAAAATGATAGCTCAAACTCAAAGTATTTATACATTAATGTTATAAAGAATTTGAACACTTTGTTTGTTTGGATGATTTATAATGACTATCTTTTTGGATGATATATAATGATCGTCTTTTTTGAGTTTTACTGATTTGGTTCACCTTTGTTGAGTCAAAATCATGTATTGAGAACATTAAAACATGTGTATGTGATCATATTTTCAACACAAAATTACGAATATTGTGTGAGGTGGAATGTTCACCAAGTGTCCTAGAAGGTGTTATATGGATGAAAGGGTGAACTATGGTGATTTTGTGGAAATGGGTGTATTCTCAGACAACAAGTCAGATGATATTGATGAATGAGTTGGGGTATAACAATGGAGGCTCAATGTATACCGGTTTTTGAATCGATATGTTGATTTAGATTATGTTTTACTTTTTGATGATTTTAGTATCACCGGTGATTTTATGTAATGAGATTTATATATGTTTCATAGGGGTTTATATGTTAGTTTTAATACAATGTTGGAGGTGCAGGGTACACACTTGTATTAGTCTGCTACCAAAAGAGTGGTGGACAAGAGGGGCGCACCCCCTTATGGGGTTAAAATACTGTATAAAATTCTAAATCCTGGTTCTTTTTGAAACATATGAAAATTACAAGGACTATATTCTCTCTTGTTCTTGATCAATTTTTTGTGCCTAGATTCTTGATTGTTCCTGTAAGTGTTATCCAATGTCGATTTTTTCGTAACCAAACGTA